TCATCTGGCTTTTCGATACTAGCAGTCTGACCTATTTAAGGCTAAGCAGAAACTGTGTGCATGGGCATCTGTAGGAATGTGAATAGCTGCAATTCTTCCGTCTTTATAATTTTTAAGCTAACAGAAAATTGTGGCAAACTCTTGATAAGTAACATTTTCATATCTATAGCTCAACTTTTAACATTTATGATAGCAATTCTTTCTGTGGTAAAAAAATATATCTTGATTCTCCCAGGCAAAAAAGTATCAAATATTGAATAATGCAAAATCCATATAGTCAAATTAAAATTAACACCTGGTGCCAAATAATGTATTGAGAGCACATATGTTTTAATATTCAGTTCAAGTAGAAAAGCTTATAGTCTTCAGAGGAGATCCATTATATTCTCCATGGATTAGAATGATATACAGCATTTAGAGAGCTACATATGTGCCCTTTGCAAGGTTATGCTGCATATCCCAGGGCATTTGAGGCGTTGCACAATAAAGTTAACCCTGAGCCTATCTCTGCTGGATAATGGCATACACCTGCCAGACATCTAGGGAAAAAATAACAATATGATACTTAGATGGTATTCCTTTAAGAAGGCTTCTCATTTTTGCAGAAGATATTTCAACATTTAGACAGTAACATTTGTAATTCAATACTGCTGACTAGCAGAACTGAGCATCAGAACAATTTGTAAAAGAAGCTGTTGTATCCTGTTTTTCAACTCAAATGATTACAGTCATATTATGCACATATTATGCCATATTATGCACAGACGAACCTAAGTGATCACTGACTTCCAATATAAAGAATATGTTAATTAATATAGTAATTAATTAACTGTTGGCTGTTATCTTCATGGAAATAGTTTGAGCTATGGTGAAAGATAACGTAATTGTTTGGGGTTTTTTCTCTAAATAGAGGGACATAAATTTTGTTTTTGCTTTGAGTAGGATGTCTGACATTGTAGTTACTGATATTCAGTGTGATTCTCAGAAGAGTTATTTTTAAGGACATCAGAAGAGCCACATGTATATAAACAAAGGGTCCATCTAGTTCAGTGCTCTGTCTCCAGTAGTATTGACAAGTGGATGCCTAGGGAGCCAGGCAACATAGCTAATGCCTTCTGCTTCAAATCTCCAACTGTTCTCCTTTCTCTCAATTTCCTGAGCTATTGAGTTTTGTCTGTTTAGCATTTTCCGTGTACCTGTGAAGTTTCCCTTTAAATGTGTATTTCTCTTGCATTCACATCCTTTGGCAAGGAGTCCCATAGGTCATGACGTATTGGTAGGATGTCATACTCTTTTGTTTGCCTTGAACTGAAGTCTCGATTTTGTCTTTTGATGGTATTTAGTACTTTTATTAGAGTAAAATCATAGAATAAGAGAATTGTTTAGGATTGAAAAGACCTCTAGTATCATTGAGTCCAACCATTAACCTTACACTGCCAAGTCCACAACTAAAAAATGTCTGTAAGTGCTGCTTCTAGATATCTTTTAAGTACTCCCAGAGATGATGACTCCCCCACTTCCTGGGCAGCCTATTCCGATACTTGACAACCCTTTTGGTGAAAAGATTTTTCCTAATACATAATCTAAGCTTCCCCTGGTGTAACTTGAGGCCATTTCTTCTTGTCCTATGCCTTAGGAGAAGATACCAACCCCAACCTGGCTGCAACCTCCTTTCAGGTAGTCGTAGAAAACGAATATATGATCAGTCTCTACTCACTCATGATTCTGTATTCCTTTTTCACAGATTCCACATCTGCCATACTCAGTCATTGTTCATTACAGCCTTTTGATCATCTTTGTTTCCTTTCTCTGAACCTTTTCCCTTTTTAATATGTTCTTTTTGGCAGGAGGCAACCAGAACTGCACAGAGATTTCAAGTTTCGGGCAAGCCATGAACTTCTGTGACAGCAGGATGTTTTCTGATTTGTTCTCTAATCCTTTTCTAATAATTCCTAAGTTTTTATCAGTTTGGGATTTTTTTCGCTGCTGCAAAACAGTTAAAATAACTATCTATCATGTACTGCTTTAAGTTAATTTTCTTTGTTGTATTGTACCTACCATTTTATTGTCTTGACACGCTGTCTTGTAAAGTCCTTCTGCCATCCTTAATAGTCTGTCTTCATCCTTATCAACTTGAATACCTTCAGATCATCAGAAAACTTGGACTGTTCAATCACTTGTCTAACTCATAAATGAGTGTATTGAACAGTATGGATCCCAGCACAGACACCTTGTAGAACACTTCTGGTGACTTCTCACTATTGCAAGCACTGACTGTTTACTGCTAATGTCTGTTTATTCTCCTTTAGTTAATTACTTATCTGTGTAAGACCTTCCCTTTCTCCTAACTGCTGGAGTGCAGGCACATAGATATGCTTTTTTTTCTCTTATGCTCTGAAGAAATGCTTGGTTTATAAATTATAAAAATTTAAAAAAAACCCACAATACAATACCACCACTGCCCCCCCCCCCCGAAAAAAAAAAAAGACACCCCAAAAAACCCCAGGACTTCACAGTTTTTGCAAAGAGAGAAGTCCTTCTGTAGTACTGAACCATTTGCCATTCCATGGCAGAAGTAGCCCTGTATGGTGGTGCGTCCATGGCACATTAAAGTTACACTGCACACATACCAGCCCAGTCCCAAGCCATAACAATCAGAGGTTTATGAGAGTGACACTGGAGTCCTAAGTAGCCTCTTGTTTCTACTGTAAAAGCTGTCTTCAAATTGCCTTTTTTTTTCAGGATTATGTTGGATAAGAGTAAGATAGAATTTCAAGGATTGGGCTGATGTGTACAAAACCCCCACATTTATATACATAAAAAAGAGCATTTTTGCATCTACTCTCTGTTAAGGCAGTACTGTAGGCTGGAAGATTAGTTATAAGCAAAATCCAAACTTTTATTCTGTGGTCCCAAATGAGATAGGAAATGTAATTTGAGCTCCCTGTATGTCATGAGGTCAAAGTCTACTGGCTTGGGATTTGAGCAGGTGATTTGAGTGTCAGCCTCAGTAAAATAAGAGTCGGTCAGTACCAAGTAATTTTTCTAAGATTCTACAGATGGAATCCAAATTTTCATGTATTGCTGTGAGGCTGGAATGCAGATGTGTTTAAAGGGTTAACACTGTGGCTCAATCAGAAAGAATGCTTGGCAATAAGAGGAAGCCTGGATTAATGATGGAAAAGAATTCTTAGCATTTTATAGCAGTGGGTATTTGAGATGAGACATGGCTAATGATCAACTAAAAAGGTATTTGCAGCTGTGGTGCTACCTCTCCCCATAATGCCAACATTAATCAAGCTTTTTCATGCAGCTTTTCAGTCAATTCTATTTTTCATTGTCCTGAATAGAAAACAGAGCTCATACCCTGTTACACTGAGTCAGAGACCATACTTCTGTGTCACCAAAAATGATCATACCTTATTGATTTCTAAAAGCTGCACTTTCTGTGCTGTGAAACGAATCTATAGGAAAGTCTGTAACAAAGCCAGTTTAAAGGAAAAAAAGCCTCTTGTAACCCCAAACTATAAATACCTCTGGGATGTGGAGCACTTATTGCCATGAATTAACTGCTCATATATTTTATTTGAGTCTTGAATTACCAAAAAAATCAGCTATAATTACAGCATCTCTAAGTCTAGTTTTGGAGTCAGCCATCTTGGTGAAAGACCTTGGCAGTGCGAAAAGCCAGTGAAATCGTGTAAGTCAATGTCCTGGCTGTTCTGATCCTGCCTTTGGAGTCAGAAGAAAAGATTCATTATAGTGAAAAATTAAACATTTGACATACAAGTTATTTCCAAAATGGCTTCAATCTTTTTAAATAATGAACCCCATTGAATCCTAACTTCTCAGCAAATGTTCATTATCTAAATTCCTTAAGTAAACTACACGTGATGAGCTTTTGAAACATGAACATGATCTTCCCTCATGTAAACAATCCTCTGCCTTTGTTGCCTGATGCTATCACATTTGGGTGCACATCCTTCTGGATTGCAGGCCCAAGCTTATAAAATCTCACTATCAAATATCTACACTGATCTGCAGATGCTTTATGCCTCTGCTTAACAGCCATGACTCATCCCGTTAAAGTCAACAAAGTTACAGTAGTAAAGTTAGGCGTGTGTTTGCAGAAATAGATCCGGATTCTCAGAAGTATTTAGGTAATTCAAGATGCAGAGAGATGACCAGTGGGGAAATTTCATACTGGCGTGACTAATCTCCCTAAGATCTCCTAGAATCTAGAGAGAGGGAGAGAGAGGAAAGGCTTTTGCAAAGGGTCTTCAGAACAACTAAGTTAGGCTCCTGTTTTGGAGCATCTCCTAAATGACCCTTCAGCATTCCCTGTCATTTAAGAAGTGCTTTGAATGCTCTGTCCTGGACACCTGGCAGGAGCCAAGGTGCCCAGTCACATCTTGCAAGGAGCTTGTCTGAGCAATAGCCATGTCGCCAGCTCTGGGAATCAAGCTCTGTGTACTTGTGGCTCTGCCCACAGCGACAATCTGCGCCTGCCATTGCTTTGCATTCTAATGGCCCCACATGCAGCAAGACGGTTGACACAGGTTAAAGTTTGCTTTTCAAGCTGAAGAACCAAAATGAGAATAAATGGAAATATATCGGACTTCTGAAGACCTGGAGTTTTAAGATTCTTTTAAATAGATGTTGTAGATAAAATTCTTCATTCTTAAATGTACAGGACTGATTAAATTACCCATCTTCATTTTTTATGGTGACTGAAATTAAAGGACTAGGAAACATGCAATGACTCCTTCACATTTTAATAAATGTAGTGTATTTGGAGGATCCTCCAACAGCCATGATTTTGCTGTATTAAATAAAGTAGATTTTATAGCGCTTTAATCAGATCATGATGGAACATTATGCAAAATATTATGCAATGTAATGCAAAGTAATTAATGCAAGCAGAGAACGTGAGACTGCTGAGCAGCATGCATTTGTGTCACACACTGCCTGCTGATTTTCAAAATTTCTCTCTTTCTTAGATAGTGGTTTCCCGTTCAGAACCCACAGCTCCACATGTCAGCTTTCAGCTAGACTCCCACCCTGTCTCTCCCCAAGTTGTTGTCAAGAATTCATTAGCAGATGATGGCTATACCCTGGTAGTGACTGGGGAAAAGGTGAGTGGTTCATACTCTAATCCTTCTGTGCACTGCATAAACCTGCCTTCACAGCAGCAACATTCAGTAAGAGCAGCTGTTCACACCACTGCCTTATGTGCTGCATCCTCACAGCCTTGCTATTCCCTTGGGAACACTGTGGGGAGGGGGGCAAGTTTCCTCCAAGATATTTTTTCCCCTCTACTGAACAAACCAACAGGCTAATATTGAGAAATGTTTAAATAACGTAAGAGCTGTGATATAAACCAACAAAAGCCAGGAAATGCAAATTTAAGGCTGAAACCCTGTCCCTAATTCAAGTGCTTGCAAAGACAAAACATACAATGGCTTAAGAAAAGAATGGCAGTCACAGTTTCCTGGCTTTTGTTGATTTGTGTCATAGCTTTTTAAGGAGGGTTTTGTGTGCAAAAGTTACATAGGTGTGCTTAAAACTAGGAGTCAGTGTTCACAGTAATGTTTGAAAATTATTTTAGCATATGGTCTACAAAGAGTTAATAAAAGATGAAGAGCTATCATAAATATGCTATTGTCATAAGTAGATGTGCATTGAATAGGTTTAAGACATCAGCAGATAATATTACAGATAATCCTAAACCATAATCGTAAGCGATAATTTGACTCCTTGAGTTCTATAAAAATTTACAGAAATAGATCAGCCATTAGTAAAGATAGTTATTAATCATTTACTAGAAATATGTGAGATATTTATAAGAGCAATCTTCAGAAAATGTCCAAAATAAGTTTAAGGAACGTACGGAAATATAAAGAAGTATGAGGTACTTATACAGTAATGTAATTATATACTAATTTCAATATTTTGTCCAAAAATAATTCTTAGGTATTTGAAGTGACTATTATCATAATTATCCTGCTATTTTGGGTAATATACATTTTAACTTATATTTTAGGTACAGTGTAAGTTTTTTGATGCTAGGTGTTAAAAAACAAGTACATGGGCAGTCACATGCCATAAGTATGCCACAGGCATTAAAACAGCCTCGTCAAAGTTGAAATAGCCATCCTGCCTATTTTTACGAATGTATGAACTAAGGCATACTGAGATACACTGCTTTTTCCAAGAACTAGTGCAGAACTGGGAGGAGCACACTGCTGTTTTCTTTCTCCATCAGCAAAAAATTCTATCTTGCTGTAAACACCAGATGCTGGTAGTAACTGTATATAACATTAAGATGCCTTTAGGGTTTCTCCCAAGCGAATTTAAAATCATGTCAGTTAAATTACTTATAAGATCCTATAATTACTGAGCTAAAGAGAAGTCGAACTGAGGCTTGCACATCTGAAATCTGAGTAGCACCACTGCGCTATGCATAAATAGAGACTCTCCTTGCCACTTAGTGTATGTATTAAAATGATCTGTGCATTATGTCTCTCCATCGGCAGATAACAAAGATCCCACTGAAGGGGCCGGGCTGCCATCACTTCAGGTCCTGCAGCCAGTGCCTGCTGGCACCTGCCTTCATGCAGTGCGGCTGGTGCAACCAGCAGTGCCTCAGGTCTCCTGAGTGCCCCAACAGCACCTGGACCCAGGACACCTGCTTGCCTAGGGTTTATGAGGTAAAATGGTGGATTTCTTCCATTTCTCTCTTGAGGGAAGAACACGGTCTGTGCTCTGTGGACATTTTCTGTTTATGTAATTGTGATAAGTTAAGTGTCTGCTCTCTTCAACTTCCCCTCAGCCTCGGTGTCCATAAATCCTCTGGCTGGATGCACATGCTCTCCATGAGTGCTGTGGGCTAAGGTGCTCATGGTGGATAGGTCTGTCTGAGTATCCTGACCAGCCATGGGAGAGCCTTGGCCCTACAAAGCGCTTCTGGTGGGGAAACAACATGGATCTGAGCTAGCCTGGCAGGGGTCTTATGGGAAAGGTCAGCCACAGAAAGGAGTAACCCTCCTCTCAGACTCCTCTCAAAGGGGAAAATGGAGAAAAGCATTTCCTACCCACAGCTGCCACAGCCCAGCCCCGTGCAGGAGGTCTGTGACTCTCACTCTTCATCTGTCCCTGTGCTGGCTCCAGCACGGAAGGAAAGTGCGGTGTTTCTCTATGAGAAAAATTCCCTTTCTCCCCTACGCAAGCTCCTGGAGGAGATGCTTTTTTCATAATGTCCTTCCCTGGCTCCTTGTTCCATGGGTCCACTTGCCACCAATGGGGGACGAGCGTGTAGCTGCACACTCTGTGCCCCAGGACAGGGGACAGCCAGAGGCTACTACCAGCTGGCCAGAGACCATCAAGGTTTGTGCAAGCTTGAGATGAGCAGAGAGCTGTATTGGTGTGGTCCAGTTTTAATTTATTGTGGTTAATGCAGGATTCATGCTGTACGTGTAACCAGATCTTCTCAGGTGAAGTGTGACATAACTGTGAAGGCAGAGGTTTGTAAGGCGCTTGATGGACTAGAAATCTGAGGGAAGGACAACCATAAAACTTCCTGGTAGCATTTATACCCATTTACTTGTGTTAGTGCATTTAAACTACATCGTGTAGTTAAAAGTACAGTTTCCTTTATGGGAATACAGCTTATAAACAGGGATGAAAATTTGATGTGCTAAACTCCTAGAGAGAAAGGAAGACAAAAGTGGGTTTTAAATTAATAATGTATTTCTTTCAACCAGGCAGATGATTTTATGTACAGCAACTTTTTAAAGAACGGACAGGCAAAACTGCTGTTAATCCAGAAAGAAATCTAGAAACACATGTTGGTTTTTTTATCATGTTCACCTTTCAGATACTAAATTTAGGATTGACACAGGCAAAATTCAGTGAACAAACAATGGAGAGTTACAGGAAACCCAAAATGGATGGAAAGGATGGGGGGTGTTTGTGTTTGCCTTGCCTTCTATTGCCATTTACCTTTGGGCAAAGGAGATGTACAAAAATTGCTAACACATAATGTGAGTAGTTTCCTTTTATATAAGAAGCCATTTATTTCAAAAAGGTTATATTAGATGATGAAATAATGCTTTCTGGCCTTAGTTTGTATGAGACTATGAATCATCAATTCAAAGGTATGCCCTGAGAGTTACCCTGATACATTTTTCTGTGCTTCTGCAGGCCTAAGGTACTCACCTGTCTTGCACAGCTTATTTCATCTTTCCTAGAGTTCAAACACAAGTAGCATCCGTTAATGTTTTTTTATTCACAAAACTTTCCAGCAGTGGCAGTATATTTCCATGACTCAAAAGGATTTCTCAGGCTCTGAACTGCTTAGTTTCTGATTTTCAGAGGTGCTGAGCTCATATAGCCCTCTTTAATTTTAATTTTGAGTGTATGCACTCAGCAGTTTTAAGAATCAAGAGCCTGGAGCCCATGCACAAGGCTCCAAGAGGTGCTCCAAGACCAAGAGGTGCATCCCCAAGGCCACCTCTGCAGTCCCTATGAAGTCACTGGGAGGTCTCATCCAGGGGAGCATGCTTTGGACAGGGGGCAGAGGGAGCAGATGTGAGGCTGGCTAGGTGTTTGCTCCCCTTCCCCATGTGGCTCAACCCTTCCTGCTCAGCACAAACCCAGTCTACCCCTGTGATGAATATGGATCTGTGGCACCAATGGATCTCAAAGTGAATCTCAAATTACAGCGTGCCCATGTTGGTAGAAGTTGCTTCTAAAAGGCTTGCAAGGAAAAAAATGCAGCTGGGTACTTAAGTCCCTTTGGATTGCTAGCTGTTAAGACAGATTTCATGCTCTACTGGACCATGACATTTAACATGATTACTGAAAAAAATATAAAACAGATTATTCATCATCTTCTGATCTGTCTTTAAACCCATATGCATAAAATGTAAGAAACAAGCTTGTTTTGTTCCTAACAAACAGAGGATGACCTGCTCTGCATAGTATCTGAAACTCAGTCTGAACCTCTGCCTAATATTTTGCAGCTTCCAGAGGGACAGATTGTTTGAGATATGTCATATGATCATTTTAACCTGAAGGGAACAGATTGCTCTATGAGGGTCTGGTCCAGTGGATGTTAGCTAATGAAGTTGTCAACAAAGTTTTCCCAGGTTATTACACACAGTGGTGGGCAATGAAAAAGATATTTTCTTCTCAGGAGGGTTGGCAAAGTCTTCCCATGGAGTCCTGCAGATCCTTTGTTTCTTTGCCCTGCTTTAAGCACTTTCCCTTGGAGCTGTGGGTGGTGGGGAGCAGCCAGCTCTGCCCGGGCATCCCCCCTGCTACCGACAGTGTAGTAGGGCAGGCACTGGAACATGTCCCCTCCACAGCCCAGCTCCCACTCTACTCCCATCCACTGCCTCTGCCAACCACGGGGCGTGTTTTGTCAGCCTGGATGAGCAGTGCTAGAGGGAAGCCAGAGGACTCGAGGGAGTCTCCTCAGAGACCACTTGGTGCTGGAACAAATTGCAAGCATCTGTGTGTGGTGTTCAGGTCACGCTGAAAGGTGAAGGGTGTAAAAGAAGAAATAAATTGGTATCCCTTCTGATTCTTTGTTGTGGTTAGAAATCTGACATGGTTTGTTGTTGTTTTTAAAGTGAGTCATTTTAGCTGGCTTTTGTATCAGATGTATCAAGGACATCAGGCCTTCTGCTGCCTGTTGAGGTTGGAGTTTTTGCTGGAAATTTCACATATGGTCTGTACATGTTCTTGTCTCTTAATTGAAATGAATGGGCTATTGAAACTAATAAATATATACTTTCTTCCAAAAATTTATAAAGTATATGAGTGGATATTGGCATAATGACTGTCAACATAAGCAAAAGGAAAACACAAAAGTTGACTTCCTCCCTTAACCCAAAGTCCAGAAAACAGCAGAATGGAAGGCCTTGCAGCAGGGCTTGCTCCATGTTATCAGTGGGGTTTTCGTACTATAGAGAACTTTTGAATCCTGAATTTCATAGCATTTATATCTGATTTGGGTTTGCTTACTTTGTGTTACTACCTGGACAATGTAAGCACAGAGAAGATACCTACGTATACCTGAGTTCAATGCCAGGAGGCTGACTACTCATTCCTGTCAGCTCTCACAAGAACAAGTCTGAAAAACCACATTTGACTTTCAGATGTTTCATCATACAGAACAAATGGAACAAAAATACAGACTTGAATAAAAACAGTCTAGGAGAAGTTCTGCAGAACTTAAAACCAGAAGATTAAGATTTGGTTTATTTTTTGCTCTCTGCTTAGAGGTCTTGCCTCCTAAATTTGTTGGCAGAATGTAGTAGATACTCTCCCTCAATTAAGGTACATGGGCTGCTATTACAAGTTTCTTTTGGCAGATAAGATCACTAAAAACCAGTTCGGTACCTTCAGTTTTTATTCTGTATGGCTTTGTGCAGCCTGATTTTAACACCCTTATTTTGCTAACTTATGGATTACATTTCAAACTCTTCAAATGCCACATCAGTGCATTATTGTACAAAACACAGAGACATCCTGTATCCCACAGAGCAATGTCACTTTCTACTGGGGTTTTATTACTCCAAAAATAGGTAAGTGTGCTGAGATATTAAGCAGAGTGGAAAACTAGGATCAGAAGTCAAATCTCGATTTTGAAGGAAAAAACCCAAAGAAATAAGAGAAAGTTAAACTTGGGAATAGCACAGACTCCATGGGGTACAGTACTGCTCCACACTCTTAGCTGCAGTTTTGTGTGTCAAGGGGCTGTGGGGGTATCACTCCTTTTTTACAGGATTTGTGCAAAAGTACTGTTCCTGCATAGGTTCCCTCTTCTTTGCTTGTTGAGAGCTGATTCAAAGCTCTTTAAAACAGAAAAGATTCCTTCTGGCTTCAGTGAATTTTAGATCAGACTCTTTGTCTGGTTTCTAATGGGGGCAGTAAATTTCCCCATATATAGTATATGGTATAATTCTTTTGAAGTATTCTTCAGCTGCCTTTCTATATACAATACTTCATTTGTGAGAGTCTTGAAGTATAGCTACAAGAGAGTTGAACAGAAATGTGCTATCTTACTGGATTTCCAGATGAAATAATAGCCAAGTATCAATCAAACACTTTCAGCTTGAAAATTAAGTCAGGTCCTTTGAAAGGCACAGCTGTATTGCATTTTAGGGGCCAAATTATTATCACTAAAGCATTAAGACATTTAGGCACTATGATCACAAGTATAAATTCAGTCTTTCATTCTTTGTTGCGTTCAGCAGTACTGGTATGTTTGCAAAATTATGCAGTATTGTTAAAAGTCCTCATAATCCCTGAACCAATGTTGGGGGGTTTTGTTGGTTGGGTTTGTTGTTTTTTTTTTACTGGCAGTACTGACCAGTACTTTTACTGAGTTTTGTAAGACTTCTATAGTGTTCCTACGTTTTTCCCACCATTGTTATATTTTACAGGACAATTTAAAATATATATATAAAAAAAAGGCATTTCCTTTGTAGATTGTCTCTGTGTTTCTGAGGGGTAATTTATTTTTAACTCAGAATTAGAGGTGACCAAATGTAAAAGATTTAAGGAAAGAATAGCAGAAGTCACGTTAACTTTATCACAGTCAACGCGATACCAGATTATGGTGTCTTTGAAGCTACTTCACTCTGAACCCAACTTTCATCAAGCTGACAAAAAATGGTCATTTTGGGGCTCTTTTGTGTTCAGCATTCAGCTTCTAACAAAATAAGTATATTGTATGTTTAACATGCCAGAAATAAGATGTGAAAGACAAGAACAGCAGGATTTAAAAGACTGTTACAATGCACAGCTTGTTCAGTGCCCCTAAACACTAACTTTCAAAGCTTTCTGGTATAGGTTTCGTTATTTATTGCTACTGCCAGAGAAAGCTCATAATGTGACAAATGAAAGGTGAAGAACAATTAAGATGAATGCTAGGACATAGTCTACCAAAAGAAATGCTTTTCTAAAATTAATTCTTTGCACATTCTTTAGCTCCATTTGAAGTTCAAGAAAACCTGATTCAACTAACACAATATTTTTTTGACAGATTCTCCCAAGCAGTGCCCCCATAGAAGGTGGGACAAAGCTGACACTGTGTGGATGGGACTTTGGATTCAGCAAAAATAATAGATTTGAATTAAAAAATACAGTAGTCCATATTGGAGGAAAAGTTTGTGCTCTGGAAGCAAAATCTAGCAACAAAAACAAGTAAGAAACCTAAAATGTGAATGTCTTTTTATATGGAATTTTTTTACAAATATGTATCATCTCAGATTCTGAAATTTCAAGTTGAAAAAAATCCCTTGGTTTGATAAGCTCCCCAAGAAAAAAGTGCTCAAAATGGAGAACAATAAATCAAGTTTATGCCAGTAGCCCCTGCAGCAGCTTTTTCTGTTTTGTCTGCGAAATGGTCTTCAACATCTGTGGGAGCTGGCAAGAATGAAGCTGTTCAAAGTTCTGAAAAGCGGGCAGGTTCATTTGGCCAGGATCCTGCTGGACTCAGTTATGTCACCTCTGTCGTCTTGGTCTGTGAAGCTGCTGGAGAGAAATGTGAGAAGATGCAGATATTTCGTCATCCAGAGGCTTATGACCCCCAGCTGCACCTCTCCTCCTCTTCCTCAGAAATAAGTATTTGAGATGGTGGGATAATGACTTAAGACAGAGGTTATTACAATTGTTATCTGGAAGAAACTGGAAGTTCAGTGAATATCCTCTCTCGGTTCAAAGCATATGACTATCTACCACCAAAGCAATGTGCAAATCATGGCACAGCTTCTCTGTTCACATATATAGCAGCAAGTATACTCCAGCAAGTACTCAAGAAGTATTGAGCACTCTCCTAACTGCTGTTCTCAACAGTCTTAATGGAAACAAAATGATTTAAGGAGATTATGTCACATATGAGACTGTGTGAATGTAATATAATACATTGACATATGCTGCCACAAAACTTCAAGTTTAATTTTTTGGTAATATTTAAATTTATACAACAAATGTGTGTATATAATGCATTTTTTCTAATCCTGTTATCTGCCAAAATTTGATGCTAAAGGAAAAGTAAAAACAAAAAGACCCTCAGCTGTTGAATGGGAGGTCTTTTTTTTTCTCTAGCATGCTTCTTTTTTCTGAAATATATTTGATATACTATTATTATTATTTTCTGGCCAAGTATAAAGACTACAGTGTGTGTATTTATTATTAAAGAGGAGGAGCAGAGTTCTTTTAGCTGTTACTTCTGAAATGTCCTTGATGCTCATACACTGATGATCTGTTTAGTATGTGTTCTTCATTATTATGAGTTTGAAGTGGTTCTATTTTAATACAAAAAAATCAAGCAGAAACTAAATGTAATCCCTTTTTTCCCCTTGTTTTCTAAAGGCTTGAATGCACAGTTCCTGCTGCAAAAAGTCCAGGTTTTAATATATCCAGTAGTGTTTCTGTTGGACATGGCAAAACACTGTTCAATACATTTTCGTATGTGGTAAGCACTATGATATTAAACCTTTATAGTCAAAATTAGCTTCAGTATTAACTGGAAGGAACTTCTCATGAGTCCAATCCAGTATATTCTGTATTCCTGTTGGCTTTATTATTACTTCATGGAAATGCTAATAAATGTTTTAAGATTCTTCTTCATATTTTGAAATAATTTTATAATCCACTGTTCTTATTTTTACCATCCCTTAGAATCCTGTAATAACAAGTATATCCCCCACTTATGGCCCCAAATCTGGAGGAACATTGCTAACTGTAGCTGGAAAATACCTAAGGAGTGGAAAATCCATAAGGATTTTTGTTGGTGAGCAACCATGCACTTTGAAAAGGTAATGTATTTATTAAAAAGTTATGCCTTTAATATTGAAATGACTTGATTAAAATGTCTTGGAGCTAAAAAAAGCAAATGCAAAAATGCATTAGCTTTCCTCTCCTTGTGTCACTTATCGGGGAATTTATACTGCAATAAGCATTCAGTTCTGGATTATATCCTGAGTTCAGGATGTCTGAAAGATTTCTAGAAGGGACTACGGTTCCCTAGAAGACTTGTTTATTCTGTCATGTCTTCATTAACCTCATTAAAAGGTTGCATAGAGAAGTAGCAAATCAACTTCTAATGGACTAGAAGCTGCCTATTTCCCATAATTTTTTTCACCCCGACTCCCACACGCTCAGCCTTCTCCCTTGTATTATCAAGAGCTATTGTTCATGCAGCAGCTGCCAGTGAGATCCAGTGGGTGCAGGTTACCATTTCCTACTGCTTTGTTTGGTAGAGACCTGACCAGTGTGGAAATGTGTATCCCATGCAGAGGAGCAGCTACTTCTGCACTGCTGTCAGTGAACAGCCAGAGGCAGCATCACATTGGGACTGCCTTTGGTATATATAAAACTGTTTTGAGGATTAAGCCAGAATTTCTCATGTCTCTGTACTGGATCCAGTAGGAGCTCAGTCAAAAATCTTTGATGTGCCCTGTGTGGAAATGCCTTCAATCACAGCTGTATATAAATGTTAAATACTAAGCACAGATTCTCTGCAGTGGGTACATCCCACACTAGCACCTTTACTTGAGGTTTTTAACACAGGATAAGTCCTGTGGATTTGAAAGAGGCATTATCCCTTGGTTACAGCAGATCAGGTCATTCTCCTTAAACCTGGAGTGTGGTGGTGTTTTCCAGGCTGAAAGCTGCCTTTGCAGGGTGCAGGGGCTGATGTGGTTGCCAGCAGTGCTAGGGAAACACCTTCCAGTAGCACGTCAACTAAATTAAGATGAATCTTGAGCCTAGGCAGTGGTGCTTGTTGCCATATGATTATCCAGTGGGAAAATCAATGACATTTTCTTACAAGCAGATCCCTAGGCGATGTTGGGGCTTACTAAAGGACAGTGTTTTAAACCAAGTACATGCTTTATAATACTGACAAGCAATCCCTTTGCAGTCCTCCCAGCATACTGGCGAGCACTGTGGAGTGCTACACTCCAGGGCAGCAAATTCCCCAGGAATATCGTGTGAGAATGGAAATCGATGGAGCAATTCGAGACGCGAGCAGCCATTTCACATACAGAGAAGACCCTGTTGTTTTAAAAATTCATCCGTCCAAATCTTTTCTTAGGTGAGTAAAAGTTTCTCATAGAAACAAGAAAAGTGACGAATGAACAAAGAATGGCTATGCTGCGCAGCAATCCATCAAAAGAAATTGCATTTTTATCTTCATCTGCCATGCCAATTGCTTCCATTATGGTGCAGTTGCAGAGGGCAGATCATTTCCTTTCAGAGGTGAAGGAGAAGGGGGAAGGGTGGCTCTTTTCCTTATATGATTTCACTCCTAGCTGTTGCTGAACCTACCTGTGGTGTCTTGCCGAGATACCTACTATACAGCTAAGTGTGTCTCCTGTACTGTATCTGGACATTACACTGATTAGTGAGGAAAATAATTTAATGTGACAAGTCAGGGGTACTCAGGAGAGCAAATGGATTTTAAAATAGTCTAAATCCAGCGCTATATAAATATTATGAATATATATGTATGGTAGTGTATGTGTGTTTTCAAGTGGCATATTTATGGTCTCAGTAGCAATAATCCAAGCCATCTGCCTTTGCCAAAATAATGTCAGCAGTAAAACAGACACCTTTTTCAGCACCACTGAAAGCAATAAGTTAAAAAGCAAATGTGAAGTACAAGTATGCACACTCTTTTAAAATGTACACATTTGTTTTGTACCCTGGCATACCACAATTTTAAAAATTATTTTTCTTTTCTTTATTTGATTAGTTGTTATAGTAAGTATAAAATTTATTTCCCAGAAAAATAATCTCACTGCACAAAGCTATTTGCACTCACCCCATATATCCCTAATTCTGGTTTTATGTTACCATTCACTTTAAAATATAATTTGTAATTAACATTATCACAGCAGATGTATTGTTATCCTACTCATCTTCTTTTTTTTTTTCTTTTTCTTCTTCCTTTTTTTTTTTTAAATTTTTCCTAGTGGTGGAAGTACAATCACAGCTCAGGGAATCAACTTGAACTCAGTGTGCTTTCCTCAGATGGTGATTACTGTACCTAAACTAGGAATGAACTTCTCTGTGGTGAGTCAGTCTTAGAGAAGACAATCTGTTATCTTTTCATCTTGGTGTGATGAATGTTGAAGAATTTTCAGTCAAAATACTTTGACTTTTGCCTTGAAACTTTGAGGCTTCCACTGATATTTTGGTGTTTTCTGCACAGGCTGTTTTCACTGTATAGGCAGAATTCAACAACAAATTTGAAATTAGGCTGAAGGTATAACAGCAGTTTCCAAGGAACCTTTTCCAAAGAAATAAGGCTTTTACAGTATCTGATAGTAAGATTTTTATATTGCAATTTAGCAATGCAAATTCAAGTGACTAAACACAGAGCAACACAATACAGGTATGTCAGATTACGTGGCAGGTTCAAGCTACTGTCATATTCAAGTGGTGACTGTGGATATGTGACAAAGAGGAAGAGTAACTATCTAAAATCAAAAGTAAGTATTATTTTGAAGAATTTCTGCTTGCAAAATTCTCTATTGGGGCAAATCTTTCCTAATTTACCAAAGTTCAACAACTAAGGTTTGGGGCTTTGCAATTGGGTACCTCTGCATGAACAGAGGGTCAGTCAGGGATCCAAGCCTTCTGATTTTTGTTCCTGAGTTGACACTACACAATGTCTAAACCTAAATAAGGTGTACAGATATGACCGTGTGATCCACTTTAATTTTTGCAAAGCAAAGATTGCATTTAATGGCTAGTTGTACTGCAACTGTTTTCTGTAAGCATTTGCCTACACATTTTGTGTTGTACCTCCAATATTTTCTTATCCTGTAAGGTCTGTTTAGCCTAACTGAAGCTAAATTGACCTATACTCTTTATGACATGCTATGTTACTCTTCATATTCTCAGGTTATTTCTAATGATCATTATACACTATTTCCTGAATTGAATTCTAAGTATTAGACCTAGGTTTGCTCAATGCATTTTAAATGGTATGTCTGCAAATTTGCAGTCTTTTATGGCTTCAAGGTCATCATATTCTTCATGATCCTAATTTGTATAATATTATGAGTGTCGGGACCTGAATTTCCACAGCATGTAGTCGTGGCTTGTAATTTAATGGGTTCAGATTTTAATCTGAAAATCAGTGCCTTTGCAATGAAACACAGTGTTCAGTGTTTTCAAAAAGTCACTTTGTCCGTCAGTTGAAAAACAAAACATTTCAGTGAAATCAACTAAACTCAAAATTTATTAGGCTATGAGTAATGTAGGCATGATTATTTTTAGACACAAAGGATTTCCAAAGAAAAGATCACTGCTGAAACCATGTCTTGAGATTTTGCTTTGTGTGGGTTTGAGCAGTCTTTTTTTTTTAAAGTAAAGATCACTCATATGCTTTCTCTGTTCCCCTGTGAGAATATGCGATATTGCTTCTCTTCAGGCCCTGATACTGCATTCCTTGCTTGTCAAATATTTGGGGCTTCACAGAATCACCGAATATGCTAAGTTGGAAGGGACCCACAAGGATCATCAAGTCCAACTCCTAGCCCTGCACAGGACCATCCCTCAGAGTCACACCGAGTGCCTCAAAGTATCATTGAAATGCTGCTTGAACTCTGTCAGGCTTGGTGCTGTGGCCACTTCCCTGGGGAGCCTGTTCCAGTGCCCAGCCATCCTCTGGGTGAAGAAACTTTTTCTAATATCCAACCTAAACCTCTCCTGACACAAATTCAGGCCATTCCCTTGGGGTCTGTCACTGGTCACCACAGAGAAAACATAAGTGTCTGCCCCTCCTATCAGGTTTCAGGAAATCAGGTTTGATAAGTGAGACCTTGCTCTCACAAAGCTGTACTGGTTGTAACCAAAGACTGTGTTGTCTTTCAGGTGTTCCTCAATACTTGCCATAACAATCTTCTCCATAACTTCACCACTTATGGACTGGTGAAGTCTCAGTTATGAGACTGACAGGCCTGTAGTTTCTGGGGTCCTCCTTCTTGCCCTTCTTAAAAATTGGGACAACATTCACCAGTTTCCAGTCAGCTGGGACCTCTACGGATTCCCAAGACTGCTCAAGAATCACTGAGAGAGGTTTTGAAATTACATTATCTAGCTCTTTGAGGATTCTGGGATGAATCCCATTAGCCCCATAGCTTTTTAGGAATCCAGCTGGAGTAGCAGATTCCACAATTTCAGAGTCAACTGGGAGTTGATCATTCTCTGTCGTGGTCCTCCAGCTGAGGGCACTTAGACACCCTTGATCCCTCATCCATGTTGGAGACAGAGGCAAAGAAAGTGTTAAACACCTCTGCCTTGTCTATGTTCCTGTTTGTGAGGTGACCATCCACATCCTGTAATGGGTCAATTATATTTCTATGCTGCCTACTGCAGTATATTAATGTATTTGAAAAAACTCTTTTTATTGATCCTCACATTTTCGGCCAGCTTCAACTCCAGCTGAGCTTTGGCCACATGAATTTTTTCCCTAAAGCAGGAAGGAACATCTCGGTATTCTTCCCATATCACTTGACCTTGCTTCCACTGAGCATACGCCTTCCTTTTGTGCCTTATTTCCAAGAGAAGATCCCTGCTCAGCCAAGCCGGCCTTCTGCCTCCCCTGCTTGACTTCCAACACTTGGGAATTGCTGCTTCTGTTCCCTTGGGAGGTGATGTTTGAAAAGTGACCAGCAGTGATGGACTGCAGCACCTGCAAAAACCTTTCCCAAGGGACCTTAGTTACTCATTCCCTGAGCAGCACAAAGTCTGCTGTCCTCATGTCCAGAGCTGAGGTTTTGCTGGCACTTTTGCTCCTGTCAGCATAGATTTTAAACTTGATCCCTTTGTGGTTGCTGTGGCCAAGATGGCCACCAATCTCCACTTTGCTCACAGGACCCACTCTGTTGACAAGCAGCAGATCAAGGAGAGCGTCTTTCTGAGTCGACTCCCTTAGGATGTGTTCCATAAAGTTGTCATCCAGGTTTTTAGGAATCTTCTGGCCCTGGTTCTACCAGCTGTGTGATGCTCTCAGTTAATTTCTGGAAAGTTGAAGTCACCCATAAGGACAAGGACAGTTGACTTTATTCCTTAAAGAATAAGTCGTCAGTGTCATCGTCCTGGCTGAGAGGTCTGTAGCAGTCTCCCGTGTTGATATCTGCATTATTTGTTTGCCCCCCGAGACTCTCTCTGCCATTGCCAACTGTGAGCTCCATACGTTCTAACCCTTCTATTACATACAGTGCCGCCCCTCCACATCTTCTGCCCTGCCTATCTCTCCCGAAGATCCTGTAACCATCCAACAGGGCACTCCAGTCACAGGCCTCATCCCACCAGGTTTCACTTACGCAGTGATGTCAAATCTCTGGGACTGGGCCAAAGCTTCACACTCCTCTTGTTTGTTCCTCATGCTGCATGCATTAGTGTAGAAATATTTCAGGTGTGGTACATTGTAGCCAATACCTCTTGAGGCAGATTGAGGGATCCCATGAGTGCTCATTTCCTCAAGTTTTGGCACATCATCCCATTGCTCATCACTGGTGAGCCTGGTTTTGCCCCTTTCCCCCTTCCAAGCTAGTCTAAAGCCTTGTCAACAAGCCCCACTGGCTCCTGCACTAAAATTCTTTTTCCCCTCTGAGAAAGTTGCATCCTGTCGGGTGTTAGTAAACCAGGTGTTGAGTAGATCGTGGCATGGTCAAAAAACCCAAAATTTTTCTGATTACACCAACCTTGGAGCCACCACTTGTTGACCTGATGACTCTTTATATTCCTATTAATATTATTCCTTGTTACTGGAAAGGTAAAGGAGATTACTACCTGTGCTCCTGATCCCTCTACCAATCGTCTCAGGGCCTTGAAGCCTCTTCTGGTTGCCCTCTTTGTTATTTCATTGCTGCCAGTTTGAACAACCAATAGTGGACAGTAATCAGAGTGCCTTATTAGACTGGAGAGTTTTCCAGTAATGTCCCTTACCCATGCCTATGTAAGATAGCAGACTTCCCTGTGAGCTGGGTCTGATCTGCATATCGGGCCCTCCATTGCCCTTAGAAGGGAGTCTCCTATTACAACTACCCTTCTTTTCCTCTTGACAGAGGAGGTCTGGATGCGGGTACAGGTGGTGTTATTTTAAGAGACCCCACTACCCTAGAAGGACTCTCACCCATCTCCTCAGTTCTCCAGCCTTCTAATTCCAGAGCCTCATACCTGTTGTAGAATGTGCAAGTCCTACCTGTCATATTTTGAGAAGGAGGAGGAATCTTCCTCCTGGTACGTGCAGTGACCAGCTTCCAGCCTTCATCTTTAACAGACTAACATTCCTTTGACTAATTTCCCTGTTGAGTTCTGAGTCCACCTCTTTCTTCACTATAACAGAGGTTCAAGACTCCCGAGAGTCTTGCTCTGTCTCTTGCTCTTTTGCTTGAATACTGTGAAGCCTGCTCACTTCTTCCCATAGCTCCTTCACTTGGTGACACAGCTCTTCAACCACAGCACATCTTCTGCAAAATAACTGTTTGTCTGCCCCAGCATCGTGAAGAGGCATCAGGCACTCCTGGCAACCTGTGACCTGGAGAGCTGCATCTGCCATCAGCAGCTCTGGCTGTGGAGGCCTCTGGCACAGCTGGTACAGCAGCTGCAAGGAATTGAGCTTTATGGCATGTCAGCCATAACTGAGGAAGCTTAAGCTCTACCTTACCAGTTTCTGAGCCTGTTTGCTCTGTTGGCTGCTCTGTTGGCTGCTCCTAGCTGGTCCGAGAGAGGAGTCTTTCCTGCTCTCCCTGCCTGTGCAAATTGCTGTGCCACGTGCCACGCCCTGTTCACCACACTCCAGGTCGATGGCGCTCCCTGGAAGCATTGAAATTCCCCCTTGGTCGCTCCCAGCACCATCCCTCCTCCATTCCTTGGCTACCGAGGGCCCCCGGGGTCCACACGAGGCTGCACTTAGGTGTTCGTGGTAACGGGAACCCCTGCACAGCCCAGTCTCACCCCAGAACCGTCTTTCAGCTGCCTCTGGTGCTGCCTCACTTCCTTAGAATCTGAACAGATTTGAAAGGATCTGAAATTTTAAAGAACTAAGTCCAAAAGTG